ATTTAGTTGCCCAGTCTAATTAGCGTATTATACTTTTATTATTATAGACTAGATGTTTAGTTTCTTATGTCCTCCTTAGTCACAGTTGTACCCCACAAAGTGTCTGGTCCAACATCTAACACATAGTAAAAATGTCAAAAATAGCCAGTTTTGCTAAGTGGTTAGAGTGTCAGCCTGAGCACTGAAGAACTCGGTTTAGAATCTGGTTAAGGGCACATCCCTCAGTTGCAGGTTTGATCCCTGGCCCCCTGGCCAATACAGGAGGCAATCAATTGATGTGCCCCCGCCCCTCTAAAAATCAATGGGAAAAAAAAATATCCTCTAGTGAGGATTAAAAAATACATACACACCAAAAACAACAACTGTTTACTTATGGTGAGAAAAATTACTTTTGAATTGTTTGTTTGTTTGTTTATTTACTAATGATCCTTATTTAATAGTTCTTTTTACCAAGATTTGAATATACACTTCACCAAAGAAGACATAATGATGGCAAATCAGCACTTATAGTGTTCATCAAGAGAATGAGAAGACAAGCCATAAACAAGAAAAAATATAAAAAATATGATTATTTTTTAGTCTCTATGGGCTGCTCTAACAAAAATACCATAAACTGGGGGGCTTATAAAAAATATTTTTCATAGTTCTGCAGGGTGGGAAGGTCAGATCAAGGTGCCGACATGGTCAGGTCAGGGCCTTCTGAGGGAGAAGGAGCTAGGGCCATGGTCAGCAAACTGCGGCTCGCAAGCCACATGCGGCTCTTTGGCCCCTTGAGTGTGGCTCTTCCTAAACCTTAGGAGTGCCCTAATTAAGTTAATAACAATGTACCTACCTATATAGTTTAAGTTTAAAAAATTTGGCTCTCAAAAGAAATTTCAGTCGTTATACTGTTAATATTTGGCTCTGTTGACTAATGAGTTTGCCGACCACTGGGCTAGGGAGCTCTGCAGGGCTCTTTTCAAAGGGCACTAATCTCAATCATGAGGGCTCCACCCTCATGATGTAATCATCTCTAAAAAGCTCCCCCTCCTAATACCATCATGGAAATTGGGGGTTGGGGGAGACAAACATTCAGACCATAGCATGCTATTATCCAAAACATACAAAAAAAATTATAAATGCAACAATAAGAAATAATACAATTTAAAAATGGGCCAAAGACAGACACTTCACCACCGAGAAGATAGACAGATGGCAAGTAAGTATGTGAAAAGATGGTCTACATCATATGTCATCAGGGAATTGCAGATTAAAACATACCACTATGTACCTATTAGAATGCAGAAATTCAAAACACTGGTAATACCAAGTCCTGGTGAGAATGTGGAAGAACAACTCATTTACTGCTAGTGGAATGCAAAAAGCACATCAATTTGAAAGGCAGTTGGCTATCTTTTTTTACAAAACTAAACATACTCTTAGAATATGATCCAGCAATCATGATCCTTAGTATATATATTGAAATGAGTTGAAAACGTGTCTACACAAAAACCTACACACAGATGTTTACAGCAGCTTTATTCATAGTTACCAAAACTTGGAAGCAACCAAGATGTCCCTTCAGTAAGTGAGTGAAAAAACTGGTACATCTAGACAACAGGATATTATCACTAAGAGAAATAAACTATCAAGTCAAGAGAAGACATGGAGGGACTTAAATGCATATTACTAAGTGAAAGATGCCAATCTGAAAAGACTCCATACAACATTCTGGAAAAGGCAAAGTTATGGTTACAGTATAAAGGTCAGGGATTGGGAGAGGGAGAGATTGGATAGATGTAGCAGAGTAAAACTTCTGCATAATGTTGTTCTGATGGGTATATGTAATTATACATTGGTCAAAATCTATATATATAAAAGGCTAATATGCAAAGTGTCTCCTGGGGAGTTTGACCCGGAGTTTGATCACTCGCTATGATGTGCACTGACCATCAGGGGGAAGTGCGGAATGAAGGAAGGCCCTGGCCGGGGAAGGAAGGTCCCAGCCAGCAGCCGGAAGGCATAGGCTGGCAGCCGGAAGGTCCCAATTGGCCCTGATTGCTGGCCAGGCCTAGGGACCCTAGCTGTGCACGAATTTTGTGCACCAGGTCTCTAGTCATATATTTGCATAACATCGAGTGAACCCTAATGGCCCTAGCCAGTTTGGCTCAGTGGATAGAGTGTCAACTAAAGGGTCCCAGGTTCAATTCTGGTCAAGGGCATGTATCTTGGTTTCGGGCTCCTCCTGACTTGGGCCCTGGTCCTGGCCGGGGCTCCTGCAGGAGGCAACCAATTGTGGTTCTGTCATATCGATGTTTCTCTCCGTCTTTCCCTCTCTTCTACTCTCCCTAAAAATCAATGGAAAAATATCCTTGGGTGAAGATTTTTTTAAAAAATGTGAACCCTAATGTAAATTACAGACTTTGGGTGATAATGATGTGTCAGTGCAGGTTCATTGATTGCAAGAAATGTGCCACTCTGGGATGTTGGTAGTAGGGGAGGGTGTGTGTGTGGGGGATCGGTATATGGGGGCCCTCCATACTTTCTACTGCACCTAAAACTTCTCTAAAAGAATAAAGACTTTTAAAAAGGTTTTCACTATTAGCCTTTAGGAAAATACAAGATAAAACCACAGTGAGAATCCTCTGTATGCCTACTGAAATGCTAAAATTGAGAAGGTTGACCATACCAAATGTTGGCAACAATATGGAGGAACTGGAACTCTCATATATTGTTGGTAGGAATGCAAAATGTTTTAATCATTTTGGAAAGATGTTTGACAATTTCTTTAAAAACTGAATACTCCTACCTTATGATGCAGCCATTTCACCTTTAGGAGTTAAGAGAATGGAAAATATTTTATCCTTATAAGGACTTGTATACAAATAGTTATAACAGCTTTATTTGTAATAGCAAAACATGAAACAATGTCCCTCAACAGATGAATGGTTAAATACATTGTAGTATGTCCATAAAATGAAATGCTACTTACCAATAAAAATGTACTACTGATAAAACAATATGGATGGCTCTCAAAATGATTATGCTGAATGAAAGAAGCCAGACAATAAAAGAATACATATTGTGTGGTTTCATTTATACAATAATCTAGGAAGTACAAACTAATCTATAGTGACAGAAAGCAGGGGATGGTGGAGGAGGTGAGGAAGAGTGGAAGCCGAAACCGGTTTGGCTCAGTGGATAGAGCGTCGGCCTGCGGACTGAGAGGTCCCAGGTTCGATTCCAAAAAAGGAAGAGTGGAAGAAGGGACTAAAAAGGGGCCTAAACAACTTATGGGGGTGATGGATATGAATACTATCTTAATTGTGGGAGTGGTTTTAGGGATGTATACATATGTCAAAATGTATCAAATTGTACGCTTTAAAAATGTACAATTTATTGTATATTATATTCCAATAAAACTGTTTAAAAGAAAGAACTATTATCCAGCTTAGAACTATGCTTTGGGGACAATCGTTAATGCTTTCTCAATTTGAAAAATGACCAAAGCTTTTTAGGAATTCTGATCATCAAATTAGCAAGAGTGGTGTCTATGTTTGAGAAGAAAAATACACACTTACCATAGAAACTTGCCTTAAAACTTTTCAGTTACTTTCCCACATGCTCTCTGTGGCAATTTCAGTTTGAGTAATCTGTTTATTTTTAATCGCTGTAATAATTCCCTGAACACCCACCTTGCTTCAGTTTCCCTGGCCCCATCCCTCTCCATGTACCATAGAGATTAACTATGAGTTCGTTGGAAATAATGGATGGGAAGGGGCAAAAAGGCAATAGGGTGGTTTTATTAGAAGATAAGACCAGTCAGCCTAGAACAATATCCTTTGGAACCAGGCTAAATCCATCACTAAGTTTCTGAACCCAAAACTCCAAGATCACCAGTAACACTGGATTCCAATGCTGCCCTCTATTTTTGTGTTTACAATCAGGTTTTGACAATAGTTCGAGTTCCCAGCTATAAGACCGAGTCATTGTAGGAAGAAAAAACATACAGCAGTCAAGAAAACAATTATATGCAACTCACATCTGCTAACTCAAACTGTGAGGGCCTGGGCTGCTTCTCAGCCCCAACTGTAGTCACCGCAGTGATGAGCACCTTGCGATGCACACTCTAGCAATATCGTTAAAACGTAAGGAGCAGCTGAATCACCTAACAAAAAAGATAAACTTTCATTTTTTAGGTCCTTCCATAGCTTATGCCTTTCCCTTTGGCTTAGTTTAAATTCAAAACTCTGATATTTGGGGCAAGGTCTTACCTTCTTTCTGCTGTGTCTGCTGAATAAGGCAAATATTAGGAAGACAAGCATATAGGCTAGCAAGGATGATGGTGCTCAGTTGGGTTTGCTGTAGGAGCTTTGGCTGTCAGGGTCAGCTCAGCAAATTAACGGGGTTTTTTTTCTAGGCTAAATGTGTTTGCTTCAACATTCCTTCCAGTTTTTGAGCTAAGGTGGCTGGGTACTTTGGGCTGCTGGGTCCTTTCAGGTGACAAGGGAGACCAGGTTGGGGAGTACGGCTAGGGCTCAGCAGCTCCCCGGGCAGTTCTGGAGAGGACGACCAACGAACGTTTGGCATCAACTTAAGTTTGCAGGTGAGGGAACACAGTCAGTCCTAAGGAGGATCCAGTTCCCCAGCTCACCAGGTTGCTGACACACTGTGATGTGCCTGATTGGGTATCATCGTAGGCACAGGGACAGGGGTGAGGTGTGTTGGGTAAATGGGGTTCAGAATTTGGTGCAACAGACCTAGGTTTGAACAGAGCTCTATTGCTGGGTGGCGGTGAGGTCTCCCACCCAGGTCCTCTGGGACCCTTGGCCGCCGCCTCTGTCCGCCAGCAGCGGTGGTGCGAGGCTTCGATGCCTGTGGCCCTGCGCCCTGGAAGCCCGGAGGCCGGT